AAGATCATTGATCTGTGGTAGTGGGTAACGATTCTTGACCGTTATCTTGTTGGGCGCCCGATAATCCACACACATGCGTCATCCTCCATTATTCCTGGGCACCAACAACACTAGCGATCCGCAAGGCGAACAACTCGACACTATCACTTTCTTCTTCAGAAGCTCCTGAACTTGCCTCTTTATCTATTCGGACTCCTGTACAGATGTGCGGTAAAGACCTATATTCGGCAAGGAACTCTCCCCTGTCAGCATAATCTCTTGCTCCACACTCCATCGTGACGGTAGTCCAGTGATCTTCAAAAATAAGTCTGCATACTTGGCCTTCAACCTGTCAAGATCTCTCTCCCGAAGCTTGCTCAAGATAGTTAAGCATACCCTATTCAGCTGTTCCTCGTAAGGTCTAATGAATAATAAGACAAACTTCTTGCTTGTATTTAATAGTCTCTTCGTCTGAGTCACCGTCATCAAGCTCGTCTCCTGCGGAAGAGACTCCGAACGAAATATTAACTACTCGCCGTCTTTGGTGAATGTGTACTTTTGGGTCCGCCTGTCGTAGACTGTATACCTATCCCACAAATAAGGATTACCCAGTATAACCTGACAAACATCCAATAAAACTACGTCGCAGGTGATCTCATCAATATACGACTCGTAGAGTGCAAGTCTGAAAGTGCATTAATTAACTACACTCAACCCCGCCTCCTTCTAAATCCACCCCAATGGACAGGGCTTTGGATGTTTGACCGTCTTCAGACCCAGCTTCTGAACTTAAGACATCGGATATCAAATTCTTCTGGTTGCCTGAGTCAACTATGGCATCTACCTAACTGGTCTTCACTTGCAACTTGAGAACAAAGAGCTGCTCTCTGGGGTCTTTGTCCTCCCTCACGGTCTGCTTTCCTGTCATAAGATTGAGACTGCTGTTGAGTTCTGTTATCCCTGAGACTTCTTTTGGACCTTGTGCTATCACATATGTTTTTTTCTCCTCCTTCAACCCCTTCAGTTTGTGATGATGATACTTCTCCCAACACTGATCAGCGACGTGCCCTGTCTGTTTGTAATGAGTACAAGTCAGCCATGTTTTCCCTGGATCGCCCTTCTTCTTCTCCTCCTTAGGTTGGAAGTCACTAGACTTGCCTCTAGTTTGCTTGGCATCTCTCTTTGTCTCGTTGCTCTTCTTCTGTTTGCCTTCAATGACAATAGCCTTCACGCTCGCTTCTGTAATCGACTCAACTGTGAATAGCTTCATCTCCTTCCGGATGTATTCATTCAAACCCGTCATATACTTCATAAAAACAGAGTACTCCTCTGTCGCAATGTTGAGGACCATAGCCTACTGCTGAAACTTCATAGTGTATTATTGAACGGTTTGTTTGAATCTTTAGCGCAAGTCATACCACTTGTACCAACGCTTTTCAAGTAATCCTACCGGATAAAATTACTTTCTAAGAATCTCCTCGAACCTGCTCCACGACACATATTTCTTCTCCTGTTTACAGTAGGATTTTCACCACGTCAATGCGTGCCCGAAAAGCTTCAGTGTCGCAAAGACGATCTTCTTCTTTGACGAATAGCCATAGAGAGTGAAATAGGTATTCATACGCTCGATCCAATCGTCAAGTCTTTCAACGTTGACACTCTTATCATAAATAGGAATCTCCACTTTGAAATTAATTTTCAAATTCTGATAAGTACGCTTACCCCCTTGATGTGGAACAGTCTTGACGACTTCAACCTCATCGTCGGAATTTGAAATCTCACCGTCTCCATCAGATTCTACAGGTCGCTTCTTTGACCCCGCCGAAGATTCAACCTTCTTATCATCTCCGTGGATGAGATCGATGAGCTCCATGAGAGTCGAACTGATTGTCTCAATCTGTTTCTCCACCGCATCAACTCTGGATGAATTATCGTTTTTCGTCATCTTCTTCTTTCTTGATTTCTAGACTTCTTCCAAAGAAACAAGAATCTCGCCTAGCTTCCTGTATTGCGATCGAGTAATGACCATGCACAAGATACACCCTTCACAGGATCTGATTGTTCTGATACCAACTTGATACGAGTCACCATGCGAGCACCTTTGATCGCGGAATTATCAAAGATGTATTTGAGAAGAAAACAACAAAACATAAGAACAATTCGATATGGCGAAGGAAAATACATTCTCTAGATTATGAAGATTAATTGTTTATAAATATTTCCTCACAATCTCTCTAGAATAAAGAAAACAAACCTCTCTATTCTCCAATCTCTCGAATTTCTCCCATGAATCCCAAAACATTAAGGTTTCTATTTATATAAACCCTAAAAACCAAAACAGGCTAGGATCAGGATTCGGCCCAAAACCTGCTATTGGTTGACTGATGTTAGTAATCAGTCGACTGATGAATCTCGTCGATCGACTAATGAACCCGTTAGTTGACTGATCGCGAACGTGCATGACGTGCACAACTTTATCGGTCGACTGATCCTCTTAGTCAGTCGACCGAACAGCTTATCGATCGACTGATCATGTATCAGTTGATCGAGCAGAAACTTTTCCACAATTGTGGAGGGTTTCATCGGTAGACTGATGAACCCGTCGGTCGACCGATAATGTGTTTTGTGCCAGCTTCGAAATTACAGTCGCACAAACAAATCTGCGTTCGGCAACGATATTTTCCAAGCTTCTATTCTCAAACCACCATGAGAATCATCTATCCTCAAGCTCCCATGGGGATCGCTGAGAAGATACACCCGCATCAACATCTTCCTCTTAAGGTTGTCCATCATGTGTCTGTCAAACCGAAGTCTGTAGCTTTTAGATAGGTGATGATATGGAATAGCTGTCCTAGTTAAGGGGAGCTTTAAAGACATCTGCAGACTACAATATACATTTACTCTCTTTTTACCATGTATGTTTGTACAAGAGCATCTAAATTAAGTTAAATTCCAAAGCAAACAGAACTTGATGTAGGACTGCATATTGAGCTTTGTTGTAGTCTGTTGACTTGTCTTCACGTTACTCCGCTAAGTGTTTCAGCCACTTAAGTTGGATATCACCTACTCTGACTTTTGTTCTCTTTAATACCTTCAAAAATTAGGATGAGAGAGAACTTAAAAGACAGAGAAGAAAGCAGTCAAACAGGGAATCTGCTCGTCGATCCAGATTGCGCAAGCAGGTATGGAATATGTATCTATATATATGGAGGCATTCCATTGTAACATTGTTTTTTACAATCCTTTATTAAGACCAAACTTTTTGTTTATGGCTGGTATATAGGTTCTTTACATTTTGTAGGAAGAAAGGAAAGAAAAACGTGACTTATTAGTGTTCATGAATTTCAGGCTGAGTGTGAAGAGTTGGCTCAGCGGGTTGAGGTTTTGAAAGAGGAAAATGCTTCCCTCAGAGCAGAGTTAAACCAGATAAGGAAGGAGTATGATCAACTTCTTTCTCAGAACACCTCTCTTAAGGTGCGTGATTTTTCCTAATCTGTCTGGTAATTAAGTTATGTCTTTTGTCTGATATTAGTCCCTTAAATCTTTAATATTTTGAAACTGGTCCCTCGAACCATTGAAATCTATCTTAGGTCCCACAATTCTTATAAGTTGTTCGAAAACTAGTCCCTCCAATAATTGAATTTGGTATGAAGTCCCCAAATTATTATAAATTATTTTAAATTAATCCCTTCACTCAAGAGCAACAATGACAAGATATAAGACTTGGGGATATTGAAGGGTTTAGTATTGAAAAACCCCCTCAAGTTCTGTTTCTCTGGACATGAACTTAAATTGCCTTCAAATTTTGCAGGAGAGACTTGGAGGCACAACTAAGGGAGATGAAGGTATAAGGCTTGAGAGGAATGGCCAGCATTCTCTTGATGACAACCGTCAAAGGCCTTTGGATTCTGACAGACAGGCAGCACAAAAGAATACAGAAGAGGGTGGTCAGTAATATCTCACATGCTTCGAACTATCCTGAAGCATAGCTCCAGCTAGATATATGCCCACTCACAGTTTATCATATGTTACAACGATGAGGACTATAATTTAGTACAGTTAATTGTCAGTAGGTAGCTATGATTTCAATGCTGACCTCCATAGTCTTGACTGGTCTTTTTACAGTCAAGCCCAAGCAGTACATGTTGGTTGGAACACAGTTTCATACTATCCTGTTAACGTTAATGCTAGTTTGCTTTTTTCCTTCTCATTTCACGTACTCTTATCTGTGTGTTTAATGTAATCTATGCTCTTTCTGGTTAAGTGATGTATTCTATAGTTAATGACTTCATCTACCATTGATATTTTATGTAATATATTGTATTACAGTTGAAGGCACACCGGTTAAGTGTGTATTATTTGATCAATAAAGAAATGAATATGTGATGCAATAGCTATGATCTATTCATACATTAGTACTAGTTGGTTGGTGTAGATGAATATGCAATGTTTACATAAGGTGCCACAGTTTGCTGGATATATGTAGAGCCTTTTACAAACGTGAAAGATAAGTTTCTTTCTCGACTTACTAAATTTAAGGCAACAACAAGATGCAAGTGTTTGTGTTTTTCACTCTAATTTTTTTTTCTCTGTTTCAAATATTTCCATACTTGATGTATTACATCTGTGACAGATTTAAGAGTCTCAAGGTATGTTTTGTGTTTGGATTAAAGGTTAATGAACTGTAAAGACATTGGGAAGTCAATTCTTGGGTTGCGTCATGTTGGCTACCCATACGATGAGTACTTCAACATCGACATTTCAGGTGTAAAAGCTGTTCCAGTAATTAATAGTGTCTAATTTTCACACGCTTACTTTTGGTTTTGTCCAATATATAATCTTCTGTTAACATGATCCGATTAATGGTTAAATGATTAGATTGTATTAGGGAACATGTAGATCTGCTAATTAATTATAATATCTTTGTTCTTTTTTTATTGACAGGTGTCTTGTCCCAGTTTGTGGATTGCAAAAATGAAGGCAGATTGAGGTATGATAATCTCATGAAAACAGAAGCTTCATCTTTGGACATCATCAGTGTGATTTAATAATAAAATAATCATTAAGAAAACATATGTCTGATAACAGAAACTATGCCTTCCCTAGTAGGTAAGCCTCAAGGAGACCTCTTCTAGAATTATAGAAAGAAACCTACATCACTGACAATACTACGGACAAAACTAAACCAGTAAATGATCCTTGACAAAGCCAACTTGATTTTTTGAATCCATCATTGGAGTGAATTGTCGGTGGGCTGATTGTTGGTGCCAAACTTGGAGACACTTCCAAAGGAGGTGGTGGTGGTGATGGCTGAGGAGGAGCTGAAGATGGTCCCACTTCCCTTTCAGTCGGAGGACTTCTCTGCGAGCAATTTGCTGTATTTTCATTGGTTTCCTCCATCAGAACTCCATATATTCCATGGCACCGAAAGTAAGTTCCAGCAGCACAAATATCTGCACTTACAAGCTGAACATTATTGAGGTGAAAATCTCTCCTCCCTCCATTGACTATTTTAAGCGCATAATCTTGCTGATGTGTTGGAACTGTTGTTCCAGTTGGCAGATGTGACAGCTCGTCGAACAAAAGAGTTGAGGGAATTGAGTGCCTCAGTAGGAACTCTAGGGTTTTGTTTTCGGGTATTGATGCTTTTGAAAGAGCTCGATCACTTGGCATCAAGAAAGTGGTGTTTTGTGGTATGTTGTCCTTTACCATGTTGAGCAGCGTCACAAAGGTGAAGTAGCTGGCCCGCTGCATCTCCTGCATCGAGATGGTGATTTCTTTGTTGAGATCGCCCTCGTCGAGTGCTGAGGTTGAGGCAACAAGAATCATTAAGAGGATGGAGGTCAAGTAAGCAGCCATGGAATTTTCTCTTGTATGGTTAATTGTGCATGGTCTGTGATGATGTGGGCTTGTTATAGAAGAGGGCTTTGCATGAAACTCTTCTGCTTCAACAGCTAGATTCATGCCTCGTGCATGATTGATCTTCTCATCACCAATGTTTGCATGTGATTTATAGGTTCTTTTAAGTTCCTTAGATGTAGTAAAGAGTTAGGAAGGATTTTTTTTTTGGGGGGGTAGTATTTTAGTATTACGAGGCAGCAATTTAGAAAGGAAATTTTTTTGGTAGTATATTTTTGTATTTTGATGCAGATTGCCTAGCGGTGATTCTGTTTGTATATTTGTTTTTGTAGTTTATGGGTACGGCCTTTTCTTGGAAATACTTCAGAGTATTCACAAAAATTTAATAGTTCATAGATTATTTTCAATCATTTACTCACAAATTTTGAGTTACTCAATACTGTTGTCATTTTTGCCAGGATTGCGAGATTTTGTTTTCATAATGCTTTAGATGTGACTCCTTCAAGACTAAAAAATGCTTCTTTCTGCTGTGTGGAGGTAAGCATGGAATAGGTGAAGAGTTGCTGATTATGCTGCAGGCTGGTATGGCATGATAGTTTCAATTTACTTTTTTCATCCAATTTGCATTCAATATAACCCTATTAATTTCCCTTTAACATGAACTTCACATGAATTACGACCGATGGGTGGCTCGAGTGATTTGGTTATCATTGAGATTCTGATGTTGTGTGGGATTGAAGGTTGACCCTAGAATTTGAATTCGGGTTTGCCACTCTAAATATAGCTCCGTCTAATCAAGAGAAGCACGATTTCATGAGCAAAAATCTATAATTTTTGGCTATTTTTAGTCCTTTTGAGGCATTAGTAGATAATTTTGAGGGGGGTTACAATTTTGTGAGATATAACCCACGATTTGTGGTATATTTAGTGTTTCGACCTGTTGGCAAATGATTTTGCGGTCTCTAAAATTCACGACTCATCGGCTATAAGCCATGATTTTTGGTTATTTCAACCTATAGTAAATAATTTTTGGAGATCAAAATTCACGATTTAGTGAGCTATAACTCATGACTTTTGGCCATGTTTAGTTATTTCGACCCGTTGGCAAATAATTTCACAGAGGCAAGAATTCATGTGCTAAAAACCCAGACATATTTTTACTTATTTTGAACCATTGGTGAATAATTTTGCAGAGTCCAGACTTCGCGATTTTATGAGTTATAACTAATAAATTTTTGCTATTTTTAAGTATTCTGATTCAATGGTAAATAATTGTGGAGGTCAAAATTTAATGAGTTATAACCCATAAATTTTGGCAATTTTTATTTGTTTGGACCTATTGGCAAATAAATTAACAAAGGCCAAAATTCATAATTTCCTGAGCTATAATCCTCTATGTTTGGCTATTTTTTGTCATTACGAACCCACCAGCAAGTAATTTTGTCAAGTCCAAATTTCACAATCTTCTGAACTTTAACCCATGATTTTTTGCTAGTTTTATTTGTTTCAACTAGCTGGCGAATAATTTCGATCCATTACCAAATAACTTCGTGGAGAAAGCTCACGATATCATAAGCTATAACACATGATTTTCGGGCATTTGTAGTTATTGCGACCCATTAGAAAATAATTTTTTGGAGATCAAAATTTAAGATTTCATTAGCTATAATTCATGATTATTGTACATTTTTAGTCTTTTCAAACCGTTGGTAAATAATTATGCAGAGTTCAAACTTCAAGATTTCATGAGCAAAAACCCACAAATTTGGGCCATTTTTAGTCCTTTTGTTCCATTGGTAAATAGTTTTGAGGAGGCCAAACTTCACAATTTCGTGAACTATGAGCCACGATTTTTGGCCATTTAGTCGTTTTGACCTATTGAAAAATAATTAACAAAAACCAAAATTTACAATTTCATGAGTTGTAACCCATTGCTTTTGGAAAATTTATGGCATTTCGACCCATTAGCAAGAAATTCGGTTGAGTTTAAAACTCACGATTTCGTGAGTTATAACTCACGATTTTTAGTTATTTTAGTCATCTCCATCTGTTGGCAAATAATTTTGTAGAGATAAAATTCATGATTTCATGAGCTATAAGCCACGATTTTTAGTATTTATTAGTCATTTTAAACCATTTATAAATAATTTGCAGAGTCCAGATTTCATAGTTTTGTGAGTTAGAACTCTGATGATTTTTGGCCATTTTGGGTCCTTTTGTTTCATTGGCAAATAATCTTGTGGAGCCTTAAATTCAAATTTTGTGAGCTATAACACACTATCTTTGGTCATTTTTAGTCATTTCTATCCGTTAGCAAATAATTACATATAGGCCAAAATTAAAGATTTCATGATTTGCAACCCACAATTTTTGGCTATTTATGTCGTTTTGACCCATTAGCAAGTAATTAGGTCGAGTTCAAAATTTATGATTTCGTGAACGTTAACCCATGATTTTTTGTTATTTTTAGTCATTTTGACCTATTAGCAAATAATTTCATAGAGACCAAAATTCACGATTTGTGAGCTATAACCCATAATTTTTGGTCATTTTTAGTTACTTCAACTCATTGGCAAATAATTTCGAGGATGCTAAAATTCAAGATTTTATGAGCTATAACACACGATTTTTAGGCACTTTAGTCATTTAGACCCATTGGAAAATAAATTTGTGGAGGTTATAATTCATGATTTTATTAGTTATAATCCATGATTATTGGACATTTTAAATCTTTTCGAATTTGTGGTAAATAATTTTTCAGAGTCCAAACTTCACTATTTCATGATCAAATATCCACAAATTTTGACCATTTTTAGTCCTTTTGAGCCAAAGGTAAATAATTTTGAGGAGGCCAACATTTACAATTTCTTGAACAATAACTCATAATTTTTTATTATTTTTAAGCATTTTGAACTGTTAGCAAATAATTTTACAATTTCATGAGTTGTAACCTACTATTTTTGTTCATTTTTAGTCATTTTGACTTGTTGGCAAAATAATTTTAAAGAGTCCAAAAATCACAATTTCATGAGCTATATAACCCACGATTTTTGGCCATTTTTTGTTATTTCGACCTGTTGGTAAATAATTTCGTAGATGCCAAAATTTATTATTTTATGAGCTATAATCCATGTTTTTTTTCATGTTTACTCGTTTCAACTTGTTAGCAAATTTTTTCATATAGGCCAAAATTCATGATTTCTTCAGCTATAACCCATGATTTTGGTCATTTTTACTCATTTCGACTTGTTAGCAAATAATTTTATGGAGACCATAATTCAAGATTTTATGAGCTAAAACCAAGGCTATTAGATATGTTTAATCATTTTGACCATTGAAAAATAATTTTACAAAGTCCGGACTTCACAATTTCATTAGTTATACTAGTGATTTTTAGCTATTTTTAGTTATTTTAATTCATTGGTAAATAATTTTGTGGAGGTCAAAATTCACGATTTAGGGAGCTATAAGCCTATAACCCACGATTTTTGGCTATTTTTAGTCATTTTGACACATTGATAAATAATTTAACGGAGGGTAATTTTTTTTGACTTTATGAGCTATTAACCCACGATTTTTTGCCATTTCATGTCATTTCGACCTGTTAGTAAGTAACTTTATTGAAATTCATGATTTTGTGAACTTTAACCCATTTTTTTACTTTTTTATTTTGTTTCTATAGTAGTTAAATAATTTTGTGAAGACTAAAATTCACGATTTTATTAGTTATAACCCACGATTTTGGCTATTTTTAGTTGTTTTGACTTATATGCAAATAATTTCGTGGAGGAGAAATTCAAAAATACCATAAGCTATTGCACATGATTTTTGGGCATTTTAGTCGGTTCGACTATTAAAAAATAATTTCGTTAAGGCCAAAATTTATAATTTTATTAGCTATCATCCATGGTTATTGGACATTTTTAGTTTTTTCGATCCCTTGGTAAATAATTTTGCAGAGTCCAAATTTTATGATTTCATGAATAAAAACCCCCAAATTTTGGTCATTTTTAGTCTTTTTGTTCCATTGGTAAATAATTTTGCGGATGTCAAAATTCACAATTTTATGAGTTATAAACCATGATTTTTTATGACTTTTAGTCGTTTCGACTCGTTAGCAAAAAATTTTAGAAAGTCTAAAATTTATGATTTTCTTAGTTATAATTCATAATTTTTTTTGCCATTTTGTGAGTTTCAACCTATTAGCAAGTATTTTGGTCAAGTCCAAAAGTCACGATTTTTTGAATTATAACCCATAATTCTTGGTCATTTTTAGCTATTTCGACTCTTTCATAAATAAATCTATGGAGACCAAAATTCACGAGCTCGTGAGCTATAATGGAGGCCAAAATTTATGATTTCATGATCTATGACCTATTATTTTTGGCCATTTTATGTTGTTTCGACCCATTAGCAAGTAATTTTGTCAAGTCCGAAATTCACAATTTCATGAGTTATAACTCACGATTTTTAGTCATTTTTTAGTTATTTTAATCTGTTGGCAAATAATCTTGTAGAGATAAAATTCATAATTTTGTGAGCTATAACACATGATTTTTAGCCTTTTTAGTCATTTTGACTCGTGGGCAAATAATTTTTGCAAAGGTTAAAACTTATAATTTTATTAGATATAACCTATAATTATTGATATATTTTTGTCTTTTTTGACCCTTAGTTTTGCAGAGTGCAAACTTCATGATTTCATGAGCAATTATCCATAATTTTTTGTCATTTTTAGTCTTTTTGATTTGTTGGTAAATAATTTTGCAGAGGGCAAAACCAATGATATTATGAGCTATACACAACTTTTGGTCATTTTCAATCATTTTGACCAATTAGTAGATAATTTTTAGGATGCCAAAATTTATGATTTTAAGAGTAATAATTCATGATTTTTGGCAATTTTTAATCGTTTCGACCCGTTGTTAAGTGATTTTGCGGAAGCCAAAATTCATGATTTTATGAGATATTATCCACAAACTTGTCAAATAGTTTTGTAGTGGCTAAAAGTCATCATTTTGTGAGCTATAACCTTGTGAGTTATAACCAATAATTTTTGGTCATTTTTAGTCACTTTGACCCAATGACAAATAAGTTCGTGGAGGTCAAAATTTAAGATTTCATGAGCTATAACCCATAATTATTGGATTTTTTAGTCATTCTAAATAATTGGTAAATGATTTTGTGGAGTCTAAATTTCACATGAGCAATAATCCATGATGTGTGGCCATTTTTAGCTATTTCGACCTGTTGTTAAGTAATTTTGTGGAAACCAAAATTCATAATTTTTTGAGATATTACCCACAAATTTTAGCAATTTTAGTATTTCAAGCAATTGTCAGATAGTCTTGTGGTGACCAATATTCATCCTTTGATAAGCTATAATCCT